ATTTCCCGTTCACCCGGTCGGGTGGGGTAGTTTACCCGGTCGGGTGAACGATATTTGCCCAGGCAGAGAGTTTTGTGTTCGGTAGCCCGGCCGGGTAAAGTGGTGTACCCGGTCGGGTGTAACTTGTTCACCCGAGGCAGAAAGATTTGGCTGTGTTGCCCGGCCGGGTACAAACATCTACCCGGTCGGGCAACAATTTAATTTTTGTTTTTCTCTCGCCTCGCCCGGGTGGTTGCCCGGGTGTTTAGTTTATAGTGGTGACCCGACCGGGTTAGGGTATGTACCCGGCCGGGTCCAATCCCAGTTCAAATTTTTTTTTTTTTTTAAAAATGTGTAAAAATAAGCTAAAAAAAATAAACGTACCTTTCTTGGGTTGCCTCCCAAGAAGCGCCTTATTTAACGTCGCGGCACGACGCCCTCATTTTGTTCAGTCGTTTAAGCTTGGATCGTGATAATCCATCTTCTTCTTTGTTACACTTTCGTAGAAATGCTCAATTTTCCAACCCGTCACTTTGAAAACCTTTCCAGGATCAAATATCCAGATTTCCATTGAATCATGTGGTGAGAGTGAGGGTCCATGATTTTCATGAAGCATGGTAAATGGAAGGGGTTTTGATCCGGGTGGTATGAGAGTGAGTATCAAATGTTTACTTAACTCCATTGTCATTTCCTTCATATTGGTGAATGAAAAGAAATCCAAATGATATTCTCTCGGTTTATTTGCAACCGTGACAAGTACCTTTGAATTACCCTCACATTCGCTGAGGATTTCGTCTTTGTCCTTCTCTACCCTTTCTGTTTCCCTTAGAACCTCAGGGAATGGTGGCATGATCTCAGGAATGATCGGTGGTGGAGTTGAGTTTTGATGTTCCTCCTCCTTCGGTTGAGCTTTTTCTGCAGGCTCTTCTTCTTCTTCCTTCTCGCGGATGTAGTTCACAACGCTTGGCATTTGTTTTATCTGATAGTCCAAGTTCTGTTCGTTGGACACTACTTCTTGCGGGCATTGTGACATATTTTGTTGCATATTTGTCACATTGATAGTGAGAGCTCGGATCATGTCTTCAGTGGACATGCTGGAATAATAACTTGAGTATGGATTATATGTGTTGGAGAATGAATCATACCTCTCTTGGAAAACAACATCATCACTCTGTTCAAAGTATTCTTCTTGCCGCTTGGGGCAAAAATCCGTAAGATGCCTTTGTGACATGCAACTGTTGTAGGCCTTGGTATCTTGAACGTTTGAGCATAAGAGAAACTCCTTTACTAAAAATGTTAAGCTAGAAATTTGACTATCTAGCGATGATGTGTTGGTATCCATTTACTCATATAAGCTCAGAAAATAGAAGAGCAAGAGATTTTTTTTTTAATATTTTTTTTTTATATTTTTTTTTTGTTTTGATTTTTATGAGATAAAATAAAAAGAAAAATAATTGCCTATCCCCGGCAACGGCGCCAAATTTGACGAGCACTTTGTCACGGTGCGTCAAAGTAAATTCAATACTAACACTTATACGTAGTATAGCGTAGTAGAGTTCGTATCCACAGGGAAAGGAATAATTCTCTTTTTATGATACTTAGTAAATAAAAAGGGGGGATTTGGATTGAGTGATTTAATTTAATTAAGAACTAAGATGAACAACCTATATGTGTTTAATTCAAAGATAAAAAGGACTTGGCATTGCTCTTTTCCACTTGTTGATATATTTTAGTCAATCATTGTTATATCTATAACTTATTCCCTCTCGAATACTCAATCGGGGAGTATATCCACTTCATCGAGGGCAGTTATTAACAACGACCGTTCATTAATAACCCTTACTATTAATCAAATATAGAACAACGCCTTATACCGATTTAATAGTAGCATTTAATCTTTGTAACTCCTTGATGAAATCAATTGAGATTGATAACCTCAACACAAGCGGTTTCGGTTTAACCAACAAAATTAATCCCTCTTAAGTTTATTAACCACGACCGTGCATTAATAAACCGAAGCTACTTACTTGTGAAACCATCAACGATTAACCATCGGTTCGTTGATCGTTTCTAGTAATAATTAATATATGAAACAAAACTAGTTGATCCTTTAAGTAATGTTCAAAATATTAATATGAAATAAGAGTAGGGATTAATTAATATTCAAGGAAGAATATTATTAATGAAGATGAATCCTACTATAATTAATATCAAGATGTTAACTAATTGTCATCTTAGCAACACTCCTCAATATTAATATAGAGGAAGAAAATACCATTCTAACTAATGTCGAGATGTTAACTAATTGTCATCTTAGCAACACTCCCCAACATTAATATAGAGATGATATTAAGGAAAGAACTATTAATTAATATTCAAGGAAAGAAGTTAAGAAAATAACTCACAACTTTAATAATCAACAACCTTCAAGAGCAACACCAAGAATGGAAGTTTAGCTCCTCATTTGGAGACTAAACATAGCTAGAAAAATATAAAGAAATGCTATTCTAAACTGAGCTAAAGAGTATGGAAGAAGGGATTATTTTTAGAGAAGAAAAAGTGTGCTATTTATAGGTGTTTTTCAACACCTTTGGCCGGGTATCCGACCGGGTCAAGTACTCACCCGACCGGGTCCATGTCAAAATCAAATATCCTCCACGTTCTGGCGATCTTCAGCATGTTAAAGTGTCCGGGTCAAGTCAGACCCGACCGGGTGGGGTAGGGGACCCGACCGGGTGAGTGCAAAAATTGGATTTTCTACACGTTCGGGTGATCTTTGCACACCGGGTTGTCCCCGGTCACTTCTCACCCGACCGGGTGAGGTAGTGGGCCCGACCGGGCCATGCACTTTCTTTGCATTTTCGTTTTTCACTTCTTACCCGACCGGGTCAAGTGTTATACCCGGTCGGGTATTTGCTCCTGGGCAGCCAAATCTTCTTTTTCTTCACTTCAAAGTCTTCCTTTCCAAACCATAAATCCTAACTAAACTTTACAACTGACACAAATAGACTAAAATACAATTACAACTTGAAATCACATAAATGTTTACAAACTAAATAAAACGTCAAACAATTAACATAAATCACTCATAAAAACATGTAATTATGCACTACTAATTAATGTGCATCAAATCCCGAGGGGGGCATTGGCTACTCCCGGGGGAATCAGAAAATCGCTCGCGCCTGCTATCTTCAAGTCACCAAGAAGGTAAGTAAGACGGAATTCCGTGTTGACACCATCACCGGAACCATCGACCAAGAAGAAAAGAGGCCGAGGGCTGAACCAACCGAGGACGTAGAAGACTTTGCACTCGATCCGGCCCAGCCGGAGAGAGTCGTGAAGATTAGAGCCCAGCTCCCTGAAGATCTGAAGACCGGTATCACCGACGCCCTCCGCGCCTACTCCACTGTCTTTGCATGGGGGCCGGAGGACATGCCGGGAATCAGCCGAAGGGTCATCACCCACCGCCTCTCGGTGGACCCCTCGGCAAAAGCAGTACAACAACGAAGAAGACCCCTCTCCGCCGAAAGGAGGGAATTTGTGAAGAAGGAGGTCGCCATGCTCCTCTCTATTAAGCACATCAAGGAGGTGAAATACCCCTCATGGCTGGCAAACGTGGTCCTCGCACAGAAGCCCCCTACCTTCCGCATGTGCGTGGACTACACGGATCTCAACAAGGCGTGCCCTATGGACCCTTTTCCTTTGCCCAACATCGATCAACTTGTAGATGAGATCGCGGGGTGTGAAATCATGTCATTCCTCGACGCATTCCGCGGGTATCATCAGATCTTCATGCATGAGGAAGACGCCGAAAAGACAGCCTTCATGACTCCCGAGGGCATCTTATGCTACTTAGTAATGGCCTTCGGCCTAAAGAACTCAGGGGCCACTTACACCCGGATGGTGGCCCGAGTCTTTCAAGCCGTCCTAGGGCGCACCATGGAGGCCTATGTCGACGACATGATCGTCAAAAGCAAGCAATCTTCCAGCCATGCCGACGACCTCCGGGAAATCTTCGCCATCATGCAGAAGTTCAACCTTCGGCTAAACCCGAAGAAGTGCACCTTCGGCGTCCAAGGGGGCAAACTCTTAGGCTACATGGTGAGCCGAAGGGGTATTGAGGCCAATCCCGAGAAGATCCATGCCATCATCAACATGGAACCCCCACGCAATGTGAAGGAAGTTCAACGGTTGACGGGCCGCCTGGCAGCCCTCAACCGCTTTCTATCTAAATCAGCGGAGAAGTCTCTACCCTTCTTCCAGATCATGAGGAAGACGGCTGGCTTTCTATGGACTCCAGAATGCCAGGGGGCTTTTGACGAGCTCAAATGGTATCTATCTTCACCCCCTGTGCTCTCAAAGCCAAAGGTAGGGGAGACCCTTTATCTCTACCTTGGGGTCAGCCCGGCGGCCATCAGCTCTGTGCTCATCCAGGAGGAAGACGGCATCCAACATGCCATCTTCTATGTAAGCAAGACCCTGAGGGAGGTCGAGCTCAGGTACTCTCCTGTGGAGAAAACGGTGTTAGCCATCGTTTGGACCGTCAAGAAGTTGGGCCACTACTTTCAGGCTCACCCGGTTCAGGTCCTCACTCATCAACCCCTCGGCGCCCTCATGAGGAGCCCCACCAGCTCCTCCCGCATGGTGAAATGGGCTATCTTCTTGAGCCAGTACAACATTGACATCCGTCCGAGGCCCGCCATCAAGGGCCAAGCCCTGGCGGACTTTGTGACGGAGTGTACCGCAAGGGCAGCCACGGACGGGGAGCCCTCGGCTACCTCGGACGACTGGTGGACCCTCTACACCGATGGCTCCTCCGCGACCAAAGCATGCGGGGGAGGGGTAGTCCTCATTACTCCCGAGGGCTTCAGAGCTTACTATGCAATCCGCTTCTCCTTCAAAGTCTCCAACAACGAGGTCGAGTATGAGGCCCTCCTATGTGGCCTTCGGCTAGCTGCCAACATGAAGGCTCGGCAGATCCATATCAAATGCGACTCCAAGTTGATCGTTGGCCAAATCTCCGGGGAATATGAGGCCAAGGAGGGAAGAATGAAACAGTACAAGGAAGCGGCCAAGGAGTTGCTTAAGGTATTTGAGGCACACTCTCTCACCCAAATACCGAGGGCTCAGAACTCCGAGGCCAACACACTATCTAAGCTCTCGGCCGACTCCCCCGAGCACATCTCCAAGATTGCTAAAATGGAGGAACTCAGCCTCTCAAGTATCCATGCAAGCCCCGTCATGAACATACAACAACGCCAAGAGGATTGGATCTCAGATATCACCGCCTTCATCTCCACAGGGCAGCTACCCGAGAATGAGACCCGCGCTAAACTGGCAAAACTGAGGGCTCCTAGCTACACCATTGAAGACGGAAGGCTCTACAAACGGTCTTACAACGGCACACTACTTCGGTGCCTTCATCAGGATGAAGCCGAGGTCGCGATGGAGGAGGTGCACAGTGGCACTTGCTCAGCTCACCAGGGACCCTTCTCCATGTCCTGAAGGCTCATTCTCCAAGGCTACTTCTGGCCAACCATGGCCAGGGATTGTGCTGACCTTGCCCGAAGATGCCCCGCATGCCAACATTTCCAGAAAGCCCCCGGCAGGCCAGCGGTCAACTATGCCCCCATCAGCACATCCGTCCCCTTCGCTCGATGGGGCATAGACCTTGTGGGCCCTCTGCCGAGGGGTACCTCCAACAACAGATACATCATCGTGGCCATCGACTACTTTACCAAGTGGGTGGAGGCTGAGCCCCTCGCCAGCATCACAGAGGCGAAGTGTCGTCACTTCGTCCTCAAGAACATCCTCACAAGGTTTGGCGTCCCCCAGCAGATCATCTCCGACAATGGGACACAATTTGAGGCAGCCCCCTTCTGTGCCCTTCTGGAGGCATGGGGCATCAAACACACCTTCTCCTCCGTTGCCTACCCTCAAGGCAACGGGCAAGTAGAGAACGCCAACCGGACCTTGCTCGAGGGCCTCAAAAAGAAGCTGGAGGCCGAGGGCGGTGGCTGGGTGGAAGAACTCCACAACATCCTTTGGGCCTACCGCACCACCCCTCGGCGAGCAACAGGTGAAACACCCTTCTTCCTCTGCTACGGTTTTGAAGCCAAAGCTCCTACGGAAGTCACCCTTCCCACCCGGAGGGTGATCCAATATGACCCCGAGGTCAACGACAGCAACATGGTCCTCGACCTCCACCTCCTTTCAGAACGCCGGGAGCAAGCCTTCATCCGGGCAGAAAACTACCGAAGGCAAGTCAAAGGCTACATCGACGCCAAGGTTCGCACCCGAGAATTTCAAGTGGGGGACTATGTCCTCCGAAGGAGGGAAGCAAGCCAACCAACCGAGGGAGGCAAAATGGCACCAAAATTCGAAGGTCCCTACATCATAGCAGTCATCATCAAACCTGGAACTTACAAACTCAAACGCCCCAACGGGAAAGAGGTCCCTAGGCATTGGAATGTACACCACTTAATTAAATTTTATCAATAATGTAAGAGCGGCCAAGCCCTCATAACTAGTTAATGTACTATCCTATGGCCCAAGGCCTCCACTTTTGAGGAACGAAGACACATTCAAGACACCAAGAACAACCGCAAAACACTTATGAGCGGCCAAGCCCTCATACCGACTACAAGCCCCAGGCCTCACCACGAGAAGAACCCACTCCGGCACCAAGTGCCGAGGGTGGACACCATCAACGCCTTCAACAACAGTGAAAACACCAAGTGTTTCAAACAAGACCCCTCGGTACCAAGTACCGAAGGTGGGGACTCCCATCCCCAGCAACAGGAAACACCAAGCATTCCTACAGAAGACCTTTCGGCACCCAGTGCCAGGGGTACATATCTCACCCATCAACGTCAAATAGAAGAAGAACACTAAGTGTTCCCACAGGAGACCCCTCGGTACCAAGTACCGGGGGCTACATTTCGAAACTAACACCAAGTGTTGTTTCTGAAAGCCGTACCCCACGAGGACGCATATACCGAAGGCGCCACCATCGGTGCCGGCGGCACGTAGTGCCCCCGGCCATTTGCAACTAGTGTGCAAATGAAAACCCTTCCTTGAAACGCTTTCCGCGTCACTACCCCCAGGGTATGACAGGCATGAGAAATGCCCAGGATTCGACTTTCAAAAACGGAACGCTATCCGCGTCATCACCCCAAGGGTATGACAGGCACGAGAAATGCCCAGGATTCGACTTCCAAACCGAAACGCTCCCCGCGCCACCACCCCAAGGGTGTGGCAGGCCACGGACTATGTCTAGCGCCGAGAGGACGACTTTCAAAAATGAGGCGCTTTCCGCGCCATCCCCCAAGGGGAGGCAGGTTACAGACCATCATATCTTGTACCCAGGAAACGACCCTCGATCCCCTCGGAACTCGGAAGGTTAACCCGAGGGAGGAGAGCCATTGGTGTATTCTGATGGTCTCCTAATAGGCCCAGCCTTACCAAGAAACCAAGTTTCTTGATGCCTTCCCTTCACCACCAACCAAAAAAAAAAGGGGGGGGGGGGGGGTGAAGGGGAGTAGACTCAGCGAGAAATCAAAGAGTACACTCCAACAGATCACAACATGCCGAGGGCTCCCCACGGGAACACCTCCGGTAATTGAAGGCTCCTATTTCCCGAAGGATACTACTCAAACAAATATCGTCAAGAAATGACTAAGTTCACTGCTTGGTCACCTCCGGTCACACAAACACCGAGGGCTTCAACAATACGAAGGGACTGGACTATCCAAAGTCCACTAAACGGTACCTCCAACAAAATACCGAGGGCATCTGTTATGCACTAATACCGAGGGCCCTTACCCCATGACAAGGGACACAACTGGCTAAGTCAAACTCTACAACTTTCCAAGTAATTGCCGAGGGGACATACTCCTCATCGGCTTTCTTTACAACAACAGGAGTCCACACTTTTCCTAAGTCCACACTTTTGGAAAATGACAACAACCGAAGGCATCTATTACAAATCATCAAAGGCCAGACCGAGGGGGCTTATTCCAAAACAGTTGCCCCTCGGACAGACTCCTCACTTGCCGAAGGTTCAACATCCACGGCACACTTTGAGATTTTTCTAAGTCCCACATATTTGGCCCTCGGCCAAAAACTCATACAACACAAGGGCCTCACGATCACCCGAAGGGTCCTATTCATATACCCGGAGGGATCTACATCCGGAAGCTCAACATCAATCTACGCTTGGAAAATATTCTAAGTCCTAAATGAGTAGCCCCCGGGCATCTTGCAAAAGTGACGCAGAGTCAGAGGGCACCCATCACCCGAAGGCAACACAAGGAAGCAGCACTTAGAGTAAAAAAAATTCTAAGTCCTAAAGATTGGGCCCCGGCCCAATCAACATTACAGCTAAGGGAATATGATAGCCGAAGGCTATGCGATACAACAGCACTTAGAAAATTTTCTAAGTCCTACATATTTTTTTCCTCGGTCAACTGCTCATCTCAACTTATGAAGGGACCTCATAGCCGAAGGCTACCTATCAATCGAAGGCTACGGTACACAAGGAATCAACACTGAGAAAAATTTTCTAAGTCCTAAAGATTGGCCCCCCGGCCTAATCAACATTCCAGTGGGGGCTCCACAGTAGCCGAAGGCTACATGACACACTACATTTGCAGAAATTTTCTAAGTCCCAATGACATGGCCTTCGGCCATCACTAAACCACCATACATTCATACGTGAGGAAAGCATAAAGGAGGAGGCATACATTCAAACAAAGGGTGCATTCAAATATGAAAAGCCCGAAGGCAGACATTCGTCAATCGGCAAAAAGAAGAGTAAATGTGATAGTTACAAAGGTGGCCGGGGCCGAAAGCATAAGAATGTGATCATTACAAGTGTGTTCAAATTACTGAGTATAAATTACAAATTAAACAACGTCATTTCCGGGGGCCGCCTCCTCCGATGGCTTCGAAGTAACCTCTGCATCGGCCTCAGGTTCGTCACCCTCGGCTTCCTTCATGAGCTCTGTATCCTCTAGTTCTGGCCTCTCGACATCGGAGGGGAGAGGAACGCGGACGTCTGGCTGCAGGGGGGAAGCCCGTATGCCGCCGGGTCGAAGTCCTTTGGCTCAATCTTCAAGTGGCGAGCCATCCTCCGGTAGATGAGGGCTTGGGTGAAAAACTCGCCCACATCATAATATTGTTTACCCTTTCGGGAAACCCACTCCACACCGGGCCCATCGCACCACTCGTCAACCGAGGACTCGACGACCGAGGACAGCCATTGCTTGTGCTCCTCGGCCCGCCACCCCCCCTGCCAAGAACCCCGAGATTGCGTCCCCTCGGGCTCTCTCAACGGCTTCCATCTTCGCGGCCTCGGCCTCCCTGGCAGCTCTCTCCAAAGCCTCAGCTGCGGACCTCTCAGCCTCCGCCCTGCCCCGATCTGCGGCCTCCGCCCGCAGGGTCATCTGCCGAAGGCTCTCCTCCAGCATAGCCATCTGCCGGACGGCATCGGAATTCTGGTGGACGAGCTCCCGCATCTTGGCATCCTGCTCGGCCTGGCGAAGGCACCACTCTTCTAGCCGCCGGGCCTGCTCCCCGAGGGCAATGCAGGTCTACAAAAACAAAGGAGTTAGCAGGGCCGAACATGGTTGCCTAGCTCAAAGTAAAGAAGAAAAATATAACTATCGAAGACTTACCGTGAGGGAAGACAGGAGGATCCTGTCCTCGAGGGCTTGATCTTCATCAGCCCCGAGGGCTACTCTGTCAATCTCGAGGGTTATGCCTCTCAGAAGCGCCCTCGGGTCAGTCGTGCCGTTCATAACGGCCGTACCAGTCGGGAGGGAAACCATAAGGACCTCGGAAGATGGCCCCCGAACACCCGACGGCACTTTCGCCACCGGCATCTCCTCGTGTGCCCCGGAGGCGGGGCATTCATCAACAGTGATCACCGGGGGAACTTTCTTCCCGGCATCCCCGGTCTTGGGCTTCTTGCCCTCGGGATCTCTGCCTGTGCCCTTCCTCTTGGCGGCGGCAGTCGCATCAGCACTTGGGGCCACCGATGGCCCCTCCGACTTCTTGAAAAAATCACCGGCGGGTTTCGGGACACCAGCGTCCGTCCCCCTCGGGGCCTTGGAAGGTTTTTTCTTCTTCAGATCCGCAAGGCCTTTGACGTTCATCATTTTCACTGGGATACCTGCAAAAATAATATGGGGTTAAAATCGAGGGGTTACTAACCGAAGGCACAAGGAATAAAAGAACGAACAGATAAACTATGTGCTAAGATATGAAAATCAAGGGCCCTCGTAGACTACCTCCTGCTCCCCCGAAGGCCTCAGCAAAAACGGGATACTTCTCGTCCGCTTCCCCAATGAAGCGGTATCTCCGAAAG